GAGGTACTCAAAAAACTTCCACCTCTTGTTCACACTAGTGATAAGACCTTATGGACCCCTTGACAATCTTCTGATGGTTTGTACCAGTGCCTTTGCTTGAGCTCGAAACCAATAAAGACTTTCCTCTTGGGTGGTACACAAACAAACACTTGATCCCCTGTAAATGCAAAATGCTATGCAATGCAAAATGCTAGAACAATGAAACATAAGCCAGAGATTAGGAAAAGAGGTTGGTCAAATTTTGGGGTGCAACACATGGGTGTATTCAAATATGAGAAAGTTAAAGAGGATAAAAGTGCCCCATAGACAAAAGTAGAATTTGCCTTTAATCTGTCTGAAGAAAATTTTGGTCAGTTATTACACTAAACATCCACTAGTGGAAGTTGCTGTTAAATTTGTCTCGGGTTACTGAAAGTTTGAATTTCGAATTCAAAATATACAACACTTCATAAAGTGGTACATAATGTAACTATAGGAAAACCATTGCAATCTTATGCTGAAAAGGTGTTGTTTCATCAAGAGTTGTAAAGTTGTGAAACAACACATGCATGACCTATAAATACATTATTCAGAATCCGAAAATCATACAACAACAAAATTACATAACCTTCACTAAAATTCCATACATTCTTCCCTACATACGAGTTTTCATCAGTCTTGTGCAAACTCGAGTATAGGCTAAATTATCCAAGGTATTTCTGTGTTCCAACTCTAGGACATTTGAGAGTGTTTAAAATACTTTTAAGGAAAGTGATTTCGTTCACGATTCTAGCCTCGATCCATTCAATTTATATTAATTTTCTAATATGAATTGTAATAGTTGTGGGTATAGAAATTGATATTTGTTGATAATGAATTTTGAATTGTTGCTGAATTTTATGTTTGTTGTATGCTAAGGGTTTGAGATGATGATTTATGATGATGGTAAGGTATGAAATTATGAATTAATTGGTGCGATTATATGAATATAAATGGTGATTGATATTGGTATGTTTTTGATTGAGTTTAAAACCATGAAATATTTTTGGTGACGATTTCATGGACGTTTTTGGGGTTGAAGAAGATGAAAATCATGCTGGAAATATAAGAAAAATAACAACTTTTTAGTAACGCCTTCAATGCATGATTTTGATCACAACTCTCAACTCGTAAATCATTTTGGAATGGGGTTTGAAGAGTTGGATAGCTGAAACAGAGGGATATAACTTTATTTCAGGGATAAAATATTTTTGGTGAAGATTTCATTGACGTTGTTGGGATTGAAGAAGATGAAAATCATGCTGGAAATTTCAGAAAAATAGAAACTTTTAAGTAACGTCTTCGTGCACGGTTTTGATCATAACTTTCAACTTGTAAGTTATTTTGGGGTGGTGTTTGAAGCTTTTGGTCGCTAAAATAGAGAGATATAACTTTATTTCAGGGAAAAAAATATTTTTGGTGATGATTTCATGGACGTCTTTAGGGTTGAAGAAGATAAAAATCGTGCTGGAAATTTCAAAAACACAACAACTTTTTAGTAATGCCTTCGTGCACGGTTTTGATTATAACTTTGAACTCGTAAATTGTTTTGGGATATGGTTTGAAGTATTGTGTAACTTAAACAGAGGGATATAACTTTGTTTCAGAGATAAAATATTTTAAACAATTTTATCAGAGATCGGTAGCATGTGGGAAAGAAGTGTATCAGGTGACGAATATGGGCGAGGTTCGTATTGACAGATTATTTGATGTGTTAGGGATGATTGGGAGGGTGTGTTTGATTATATTGGTGATAGTCCAAAAGGGTGTATTATATTAATCATGGTTGCAATTGTATGATCGATTGTGGATCAGTAAATATTATTATAATTATTGTGTTAATTTATTATTACGATGTCATGCATTCATTGTTGATATGTTGAAGGATATAAGTCATAGGTCCGAAAGGGGATGAAAGACTTATCTGAAACTCAAAAGGGGGAGTTCGCGATTCTGAAGGGGGATCGGGTCCGTATGATGAACCATCGATGAGAATTGGTACCACATATGTCGTGTAATATTGTCGAGTCTCATTGCATTGTAACTATGTCGTGCTTGTGCATTTGTTGTGGTGAGAATGAGATTATGAATGAATGTGATTTGTGCGTATAAATGCAACTCTCTTAAGAATGAATTTCTCACCCCTTTTGTGTTTGTTGTGTGTGTGTTTCATTGGAGTACAGAAAAACAGGTATCTGAGTAGTTGGAGATATACATCATGTTACTATCGGTTGAGTCTACTAGTGGAGTTGCTCTAATATGTAACGCCGGGGATTTTCTTTATGTTATTGTGTTACGTATCTTTTAATTTAAAGTAATTATTGAACAACTTTTGGTGTGAGTGATTTGTTGAGGCTATGAATGTCATACTTTTGTTTAATTCTGCTGTTTGGATTATAATTTTTGATTAAATGAAGTAGGATTTAGACTTCTTAGATTGTGAAGTGACATCCTACTTGGATAAAATTATATTATATTTATTAATTATTTAGTCAAGAAATAGGATGTTACATATTTCATTCTGACCATTATTCTCGCGACATCCATCTTACGTTGTCTTCTAGTTTCATCATCACAACATATATAAGTTCATACCAATGAGGTAATAAACTCAAAGAATTTAAAAGCCTATGCATGGTATGGAATCCCATAGCATCTAAGCCATGTTACACGTTCGTTATCCACATCCTCTGATCTCCACTAACTAATCTCAAAGAACCATTGACTTTACCATTCTCCTGCCTCGCTAACTAACGCCTCAAACTCCCCTTCTTCCACTTTTTTCAAGAGGCATAAGTTTGCACCTAAGAGTCACTTTTATAGTAAATTATTCCTCAAATGTTGAAGACTTTCTGAATGTTATACGTCATTCCTGGATTCTCCATCACTCAAATGAATATTTTTTTAAATCTTGTTAGATCCTCCACCTCCATGTTAAACTCCAAATGAGCGAAGGTAGGTTTCAACTCCCTCTTTCTTGTTAGTATATGTATTTTCAGCAAAAGTCTCTCAAAACTTATTTTACTAAGAATTCATTAAAAATTTTAAACTCGTGAATATCAATAGTCTTCTAAAAAATTATGAGAAATCTCAATTAAAATATTAAATATTAAATTTCATCGTTCGGGAAAAATTGTGATTGTCTTAATTGAATACTACAAAATAATTTTAGAAATTCTTGATTGAATAGCACACAAAAATTTTATTATTATTATTATTATTATTATTATTATTATTATTATTATTATTATTATTATTATTATTATTATTATTATTATTATTATTATTATTATTAATTTTTTCGAAATCTCAATTCAATACATCCCTAAAATATTTTTGTTGTTATACATTAGATCAAGTGTCCTCATTGAATATTTTAGAATTGAATCACACGTCACAAATATAGTATTAAATGGTTTAAAAGTTATTATTATTTTATTATAATGGTTACCAAGATTTGAAGTTTTTCTCTTTTAATAGTGACTATAGTAACTAATACTCTATGTTTCATATATGGATGTCAATTTGAATTTTTGTGGGGATTAATACATACAATGTATATATTGTCTCCTCTTCTTTTTTTCTCACTTCTATTTGTCTCCTCCGTTCCTCATCTTCTTTGTTCTCATCAACACAACAATCACTCTCCTTTATTTATTGTGCTTATGGTAATTACTCTTCAACTTCAATATACTTCAATTAGTAATTTATTTTTCATTCAATTAGTAAATTAGTGGTTATACTTTCGTAAATGCAAGTGTTTTTACATTTTTTTTTTGTTATTTATATAAGATGTGTTTTAATTTTAAAAAAAGAAAAGAATATAAATTTTTTTTAAGACTTGACCTCCATGGATCTCTGATTCTTCGTGGAGATTTGTGGAGATGGGGATGGAGAATAATATTCTCCTATGGCGAAGAACGAGTACGGGGATGGAAAAAACATTGAGGAACATGGCAAAAAGTGAAAAAACATCATCCCTACATTCTCTATCCGGTTAACACCCCTAATTTTATAATTATGATTCATAATTAGTAATTAATATTTTATATTAATTTTCATGGCACTCTACTGAAATGTTAGATGAAGAATAGCGCTACTTTCAGTGTTGTTGCTCTTGATTTGATTTGAGTTTATTTTAAATTGAACTTATGAATGGTCTTTTCTTTTATTTGTATTTAATTATGGTATAAAAATATATTTTTTATAACTATTAATATAACACAATAAAAAATATAAATATAAATGTATCTATGTTGTATAAATACCATATAATGTTTTTTTTATTCAAACTTAAAATGATGCTAAATTATCATTTTTCATAAAGTAATTAAATTCACAGTTTTATAAAATTTATGTTAAATAAGTACAAAGTTTTGATTATTTTAAATATTTAAATTGAGTTTTGTGATTGAGAAAATATTTGAATTGAAGGTATTTAAAGTTAAGGAATTGAAGATATTTGAATTGGATTCAGACTTTTATTTATAAGTATTTAAATAAAAGTTTGTTGAAAAATTTAATATATATATATATTTCTATTTGAAAGAGAGATTGTTAGAGATCTCATCTAATTCATCTCATTTAATTATATGTATTCTAATTTAAAAATTACTATCTCAGTATAATTTTTAACTTGTAGGATTAATTTTTATAATCGCTGGTATCCGATTTATAGAAAAAAATCAAAATATTTCCGCTCTTTTTTAAATAAGAGACTAGTAAATCGATAAAAGTTAATTTATTTGATTAAATTAATCAAATATATTAATTTCTTTTATATAATTTTAGAAGGGTAGGTTAAGTTTATAGTATATGAATATTCAAATAAAAAGTCTCACATTAAAAAAAATTCATCAAAAATCAACTTACTTTTAAATACCAACTTATTCAATTATTTTATATAAAAAAAATAAATTCTTACTTGTATAAAACAAAGCTATTACAAAAATCTCAATATTCCAATACACTTTCACATATATTCAAAGTGCAAGAGAACTGACTTCATCATCTTTCCAACTTCCTTCCTCATACTTGAACCACCTTGGACGTCCACCATCAATTTTTGTTCGTTGGCACATGATGCATGATTCTTTGCTACACATGAGAAACTCACGCAACCTAGAAACCTTGTCACTTATACTACAATCACTCTCACTAATAAACCTATATCCTTCATAACTCTTATTACTATCATTCACAAAACAAGAATGAGAAATGTTAAGCACTTGTAAATGTTCAAGTTTATCTAAAATTAAAATAAGAGCTTCTTTATCCAACTCTGAACATCTAATACTCAGTACTCTTAACTTTGGAAGATACATAGTGAGAGACTTAGCAAACCCTAGATGAAAACGCCCCATAACCTTTAGTTCTCTGAAGTTCTTGCAATTCTCTGAAATTTCTTCAAATACATATTTTGGATCGGCTATACTAGGCATCGTCATTGACTCTAGATCTTTCCAACCCCTAATCGCCATTCGCATTGATATTTTCTTGACTCTATTCCATGATAGAAAGACTAATCGTCTTACAAGTGGACACCTGCAACAACATATATTAATGACTTCCATGGTTGATGGTGGTGTAAAACTTTTTATAAATTTATTATTACATACCTTTTAGCTGTGTACATGAATTGATCATCTGCGAGATACAAATCGTGATGAAAAATCAAATTCTTGATATTTCCTCTACTGGAATTCAATGCAATAAACAAGAGATTATATAAAACATTATCAAAGCCAGAATGGACCCAAACGAACGGCGCAGATCCAGTCCTGACAAAATCAGATTTCAACATGGAGAAATCTAGGGTTTGCCAAAGCTCGTTATTAGCTTTTCCCCATGCTTCTAGAAAACGAGCAACAGCAAAAGTTGATTCAAAGATATCTATATGCTTGAAAATTTCAACATACAGATCAGTGTTGACATTCTCCATGAGCTTACTCATCATCTTCATCATGTGGTTTTCTTCACCACTTTTTTTAACTTTCTTTGTGTCAAGTCTTTCAAATTCGCTGCACATGAGAAAATTAATTTTAATCACAACTTGTTAGTTGTATTCAAGAAGAAGTTTAGGAGACGGTGATTAAATAGCGTTATAACCTATACACATATAAAGTACTGAAAATAACAAACTTTATCTTTTTTTTTTTTTTTTTGAGCATAACAATTTCGGTTTTCAACAATATTTAAACATTAAAATCTCAACAAACTTTGATTCTTATATGCATTTAAGTCATAAAAAAATAACTCACTTTAATTATATTAATCTTTAATCATAACTATTTTTAAATTCAAGTGCTATTTTTATAGATTAATTCCTAAAATATCTCTAGAACCGTTTTTATAGATTAATTTTTAAAATATCTTTATAAATATTTATATGGTATGATTTAATTAGATACACGTATAATTACACAATCAATCCATAGTTATGCATAAGTAATTAATATAATTTGTTGAGATTTTAAAATTTTTTGCTTTGATATTATATTAAAACCAAAATCAATTTTTTTTTATGAAAATTGTATTATTTGTGTTTCAAGTTAATGTATTTTTTTTTTTTTTGGAATAGGGAGGGCTGAAGCACAGAAAGAAAAAGAACTAGTAAGAAGTTATCACTCGGAAAACAGAAATCTCCCCTGCATCATTCGCAAGTAATCCAACTATATTATCTTAGTATTTATGATAAATTCTTAAATATATGTCATGCTGAAGGCTTATGTTCACTATAGTATTTGCGCAACAATTAACTTCTTTATAAATAGGCTTGACTCTCACATCCTAATCTTCATTCAATATAAATTTTATTTGATGCAAAATGATACTACCTTTTCTGATGCACGAAGTTTTCTTGTTGATAATTTTCATGACTTTTTTTTTTTTTTTTTGCAGTTTGAAGCTCAATCTTCGTATATGTTGAAGTGTAATCCAAATTCACATTTAAGATGTATTTAAATTTGTTTTTCATTTAGTTGTTTTGATGGTATAAATTCTAAACTCAAGTTTCAGTTGTAATAGAATTTCATTGTAATTGTTTTCAATTAGAGAGTAAAAGTTAGTTACTCAATTTTCCCTCTCTCTCTCTCACTCACTCACTCACACACTCTCTCTCTCTCTTTTATCCATCTTCAACCTTGTGCTCCAACAATTAGTATCTAGAGCTCTAATTCAGATTTGAGAACGGGAAACACGAGTGTACGTGAGGCGTGTGTGATTGATTATGTTTATTTAATTCATAGTGAATTAAAGATTTGAATTGAAACAGAATCACATTTCTTGATTCTGAGGGATTAGGAAACACGAGTGCTGGTGAGAATTGAGTGAATTTGCACAAGAAGGAAGATGAACGGAGGAAACGGTAACTTGAACATAAAGCATCTAGTATTTGATGGAAAAATTGGAATCGGTGGTGATTTAGATGCATGTGTTGTTTGGCACTCAAGATATCTTGATCTCGTCAATGATGGTTACACAACGGTTGCAGCAGATGCAACAGAAGCACAGAGAAATGCATAAAGAGAAATGAGGAATAAGGATCATAAGGTGTTGTTCTATATCCATCAGTGTGTGGATACGAATGTGTTTGATAAGATTGTTGATTCAACGATGCAGAAGACTGTGTAGGACACACAGATATAGTGCTACAGTAGTGATACATCAATGAAGAAGGTGAAACTTCAGTCTCTACGTAAGCAATATGAGAGTCTCAACATGAAGAACAATGAGAAGGTACCTGATTACATTGTGATTTTGATCACAAATGAGATAAAATCTTATGGATAAACTCTTTCTGAATAAGTGATAATTGAAAATGTATTGAGATCACGTACTCCTCAATTTGATTACATTGTTGTAGCAATTGAACACTCTAAAGATCTCGACACCATGATAATTGAAGAGATGTAAAGTATTCTATAGGCACTACGCCAAAATTGATACTTTGTATCACCTAATTTAATAGCGCTTTAAAAAAAGTGTTATTAAAAAAGAAACAAACACATCTATAATAGCACTTTATGGTCGAACGCTATTATAAAGTGTAGACAATGTGATTTTGATAGCACTTTATTAAAAAGCGCTATTATTATAAAGGAAACAAACATATCTATAATATCACATTTAAAAAAAATACTATTAAAAAAGAAACAAACATATTTATAATAGCACTTTATGGTCGGACGCTATTATAAAGTGTTGACAATATGATTTTGATAGCACTTTATTAAAAAGCGTTATTATTATAAAGGAAACAAACATATCTATAATAGCACTTTTAAAAAAAGTGCTATTAAAAAAGAAACAAACTTATTTATAATAGCACTTTATGGTCGGACGCTAGTATAAAGTGTTGACAATAGAGGAGTAGAGAATGTTATTTTGATAGCACTTTGTAAAAAAATGCTATTATTAAACTTCACTAAGATAGCGCTTTTTTTAAAAAACGCTATTAAACTTGACTAAGATAGCGCTTTTTTTTTAAAAAACGCTATTAAACTTTACTAAGATAACTGTTCATTTTCACGAAGAATATCCTAAAATCTTCTTTCCCCTTCGTTCCCAGATCCGGCCACCAACATTTCCTTTCCTCTCCTTAATTCGCAATCGAAACCCTCTTCTTCACAAAATAGAGAAGACCCTTCACCCTTGGCCATCACCATCTTCTTCATCCATTTTCGTCGCCGACCCTTTCCTCTCATTTTTTTGCCGTCAAACTATCCCCCACCGTTGTCATCTTTAAGCTTCTCCTTCATCATTCTTTTCACCATCACCAACCCATATCTCCGAACCAGAAAACCCTTCAACCACACTCCTTCAGCTCCGCCATTGATACCCTCATTTTCCTGATCTGAAACGGCTCTCGAGTCCACTTCCAACATCAAGCACCGGTTTCGACGACAATAGCTTTGCGATAACGGCGACAGACGAGTAACAGCAACTTGCGGCTTCGATGATGATGATGATTTGCAACATTGGAGTCGGGAAGGGGAAATTTAGGGATTTCATATCCACGTTTAGTTCGTCTGGTGGTCGGAAAACCTCTAGTGATTCTCGAGGTGGATCATCCAAAACGACGCCGTTTTTGAGTTTTGCTGTTGTTGAGGTTGAATTAGGGTTTAACACCGGGAATGTAAATCCTTCTGTATAAGGTACTCTTACGGTTGTTACCACTGGTTGGAATCTTTGAGATTTAGTTACAAGAGTCGGTGTTTGATCCATGTTGTTGTTAATCCAGTTGTTCATCGGTGGTGGTGGTGGTGACGGGGAAACCGGTGAAGGGATTTTGATACTATTTTTGGGTAATTCTGTTGACTTTTTTTCTTTGACTTGACATGATTTTTTACCTGTGCAAGGACATTTTCTCCTTAAAAGCCAAATGGGTTTGGAAAGTGATGTTCTAAACATGTTGTTGTTGCTAGGGTTGGGATTCGAAGGTTTTTTTATGTTAACTGAGATAGCACCTGCTGGGTGAGATAACAAACCTTGTTGACTATTCCAACTAGCTTTTGATGAAGCTGTAGGTGTTGCAGTATGGAAGGATCAAGCTCTATATTTTTTGATGTGTGAATAACTATCTACCGTGGAAGAAGCAGAGGAGTATCTTGTGTTATCTGGTATAACAATGTTCTCTGTTAATGTTTCATTGTTTACATTAACCATCACAGGTGAAACTCTGCTATTGTTATTGCTGTTACTGTTGTTCTCTCTTGATGGGGACTTTGCTTAGTAACGAGATTGATCCGGTTGCTCATAAAGAAGAATACCAAAGACTTGCTTTTACAGCCACATTTTTCTCCCTAGTTCAAATTGACTCACGTATTGATTCATAAAGCACCTGTTACTTTATTTTGAAACCAAAGCCATTTACACACTGAAAATTTAAAATTTTAAGAAGGCATTTAAAGTAGTAGTATACGTCAAAGATGCTATTGATACATTTAATTTTTCATAATATGTATGCAATTGAAAATCTTTAATACGTAAACTTATATAATTTAGGTTACATGTTATGTTGATATATGTTGAAAGTTGTTATTATAATGCTAGACATATTTCTACAAAACAATGCATATGTATGGTATAAGAAAAGAAACGTGTTTGATGGTAGTATTTTAGAATGTGATACCATATTGTGCAAGAATGTGATGTAATGTAACATGATATGGTGGTATTTAATTAATTGTGATTCAAATTTAATACAAAAATATGAATATATTGGCATTGCATTAAGTTATATATATTATATTGAAAGTTCGAAAAATAATTACGTAAATGAGCACAAAAGAATTGTAAATAAATTCATATATTTGTTACAATGTTAGCGATATTGCTTCAAACAATAATATAAATATAGTGTATAATTATCTTGTTGTTATAATTAATTTTTGAAATTATTTATAAGGAAGAGGAAGAATATGCTAACCATTAAAATGATCAAATCTTTGAAGTTCATGATTTTAAATTATGTAATTGAGTTTTGATTGGTATTGTATGTGAATAACATGTTTGGGTTCAATGAGACTTATTATTTTAAGTCATATAAAGATTATCCAAAGATGAATCATGACTTATATAGACTTTTGAATTTGGAATCTAATGTAATTATTGATTCCCAAGAAGTGAGGTTCTTTAAGAACCTTATCACAAAGGATAAGTAAGAGATTCTGAAAAACCAAGGATCAAAGACCGAACAAAAATAAGTCTCAAACTTATTTCCTTTATCTTATGGAAGGAGACAATAAGAATTTTATTTGGAAAATTCCTATTGTTCTTCAAGTGGAAGATGATCATAAAACTTAAAGGGAAAAATTAGCTTCAAAGGACTTATCTTTTTTGAAAGATGTTATCCAAGACGTAATGGATTCAACAACGTCAAACCAAACATGGAAATTTGTCAATCTACCTAAAGAATTAATACCCATTGGATGAAAATGGTTGTTCAGAAGGAAGTATCATAGTGTGATGGCACATTAAATACATACAAGTCTAGATTAATGACCAAGGGTTTTAGACAAAAAAATG